GCTTCGAAGGCACACTTCGATAAGGAGTTGCAAGCGTTAGGGCTGATTGAGGAGGCCCCGCGGAAACGACGGAAGGATGGAAGCACACCAAAATGAGGTGGGGACGCTTCCCCTATGGTTGATTAATGTCTACGACACTCTTTTGGAATTGCAGGGGGGCCCGAAAGAAGTGCACGGGCAACTACCTGCGTCACCTGGTGGGTGACAATGAGGTGCACTTCATTGGTCTTGTGGAGACCAAAGTTGAGAATCTGGATCGTGCTGAGGTCGATCGGCTCATTGGCACAAGGTGGGATTTCTTCCATCTACCATCGGTTGGGAAGTCGGGGCGCATCTTGGCCCTCTGGCGGCGGGACCATACTTCCTTTGAGGTCCTTGTGGCCGATGAACAAGTTGTTGTGGGAACTCTTACGCTCCCTAACTGTCAGAAGTGGACCGTTGCGGTGGTCCACGCAAATAAGGATTACCTTCGCCGCCATTGTCTGTGGCAGCTCATCAGCCCCTTCTGTAGTACTGGAGACCCCATGTTGGTTGGGGGGGACTTCAATTTGTGCCTTGATCAGTCGGAGAAGAAGGGGGGGAAGAGGGTCACCCCAACGGCCGGGGTGATCGAGATGACTGAGTTCATGTTGTGTCGGTTTTGTGGGCCCGAAGTACACGTGGTCGAACAACAAAGAGGGTAACAGTGGAATATGGGTTCGCCTGTATTGCATTCTTATGAGCACGGAGGGGCTTCGCTTGGCTCCATTTGCAACGGTCCGGCATTTGGGCCGGGTGGCGTCCGACCACACCCCGCTACTACTAACGCTTTGTCCCCGGGATTGCACCAAGCCCGATAAGTGGGTTCGGTTTGAAGACGTCTGGACTACCTTTCCTCCATCTTGGCGTATTGTTTGGAGAAATTGGAAGAGGAACGATTTTGGTACACCGGCAGAGATCATCAACCGCAAGTGCCATCGGACTCTGAGGGCTCTTTATCATTGGAGCCAGAACCGGGTTCAGAACTTGGCTAGCCACAAGGCGGAGATGGAACGCAAAATTCTGGAGTTGCAAGAGGGAGACTTCTCCCCCGAGGGGTATGGAGCAGGAAGCGGAGTTGCAGAGGTGCATTGGGGAGCTTAATGACACGTTGGGGAGGCTCACTATCTGGTGGCGGCAAAGGGCCAAAACTAGGTGGCTGGAAGAGGGGGATGCCAATTCTTATTTCTTCCACCTTGCTGCGACGGGGAGACGGCGTGAGCAATATCCAAATGGATGGGGGCCGAGTGGAGAATGACCCTGCCCGCATCAGAGAGGTCTTCCTAAATTTCTTTAGGGAGAAGTGGCGGGACAGGAATGCCTGTCTTGAGGGGTGGCCGGCATTTGCTAATCGGGATATGGTCCATGACTGCTTTCACGAGTCTCTCGTGGCGGAGGTTACGGAGGAGGAGGTGTGGAGTGTTGTACGCAGCATGGGGAATAATCGTGCTCCGGGGCGGGACGGCATCACCACCTCTTTCCTCAAATTTTATTGGGAGATCATAAAGGTGGAGGTGCTCTGTGCGATCCGGGACTTTTTTGTTTCCAACTTCATGGATGAGCGGTGGAAGGAGACGCTCATTATCCTTATCCCCAAGGTGACGAATGCGGACTGTCCGGCCAAGTTCCGGCCTATCAGCCTTTGCCAGTCCCTGTACAAAGTGGTTGCTAAGATCCTTGTTGGTCGAATGAAGTCGGTCCTCACGGGTATCATTGGCGAAGAGCAGGGAGCTTTTGTGCCGGGGCGATCGATCTCAAACCACGGTCTTTTGGCACAAGAGATCATCTGCAACTTTCAACACTCGATCAAGGCGGTGGGGCTTATGGCCCTCAAGGTCGACATGGAGCAGGCGTACGACTGCATGGCGTGGAACACTCTCGAGCAAGTGGAGTATATGGGTTTCCCGGCGCGGTTTACTAACTGGGTAATCCGCTGCATATCTTTTCCTAAGTTTCAATTGTTGATTAATGGTTGCATGACCGATTGGATCTATGGCGCTAGTGGTTTCCGGCAAGGGTGTCCGCTATCGCCATATCTTTTTATCCTGTGCTCGGAGCTCCTCACGAAGGCGATGGCGCAGCGGAGGCCGACACTCGGCGTTCGGGTGGTGCGGGATGCGCCTGCTGTCTCGCATCTCTTGTACGCGGATGATGTGCTGGTCTTTGCGGAGGCCAATGGAAGCAATGTGAAGTGCACGAAGAAGGTCCTTGACCGCTGCTGTAGCTGGACGGGGCAGCGGATCAACTGTGCGAAGTCGGCGGTGTTATTCAGTAAGAAGTGCCCGATTTGGAAGCAAAGGCGGATTGCTAAGGACCTGGGCTTCCGTCGGGTCAACGCTTTCGAGTATCTTGGGCTGCAGCTTGCCATGCAGCGTCTGGTGGCCGCGGACTTTGCTAAGGTGCTGGGCAGTGTTTTTGAGAAGGTGAATGTGTGGGGCAAGCGGCATTTATCTCTAGCAGGCAGGGATACATTGATCCGGACTTCGTTACTTACGACACCGATGTATTTGATGACTCACACCCAAATCCCTAAAGGTACTCTAAATGCTATTGAACGGTTGGCGAGACGCTTTTTGTGGCAGAAAAATATGACGAAACGGGGCCTCCACTATGTTCCGTGGGCCGACCTCTGCCGCCCCATGTCCTTTGGGGGGCTCGGTTTCCATGCGTCAAATTTGTGGCAAGGGCCGCTGCGGGCACGACTAGCCTGGGAGTTCCTTTGCAATGACAATTCTCTGCTGTCCAGGACGATCGCGGCTAAGTATGGGAGGAACCTTTGGGCCAACCCGGGGGGGCGAAACACTTCGACTACTTGGAAGGCGCTGCGCGAGGGGGCTGAGGCTCTCCACCCGATCATCCGTTGGAAGATTGGAAGCGGCAAGGAAATCAGTGTACTCAACGATGTATGGATTGCCAATAGGTGCTTGGCCACTTGGCCAACTTTCATTGTTGTCGAGGCTGTTGAGTATCGCATGGTGGGGGTTTTAATTGATGAAAATCTTGACTGGAGAAGGGAGTTGGTCCTCGAGTGCTTTGGGGAAATCCTTGGCCAACGTATTATGGAGAGTCAAAATCGGGGGGTGACCGCGGACGACTGCCCGGAGCTTATCAATTCGCCGCTTAGCACCACGGTTTCGGCTATGGCGTATAGTGGGAACTTCCAGCTGGAGGCTTATCAATTCTGTTGGTTCCGAAACTTTAAACTGCACTAGAGGGAGAATCTGTTCTGGTGGCGATTGCTGCGGGGCGCTGTCCCAACGAACTCGTGGCTCCTCCGAAGGGGGCTGGCGGATAATGCAAACTGCCCTGACTCGTTTGACTTTGTCAAGTCTAATTCGACTCATTTCGAGCCGACTTGAGCTAGAATCGGGCTTGACGAAGCTCAATTACCTTGATCGAAGCCCCTCAAAGGCACTCATACAAAAATCGAGGTCAACAAACGGATCCCCGACAGGTGCGGCAAATGACAAATGAACCTTACGTGTTGGCGTTGACCTCCCTATCTCTAGAAAGATGCAACCCTACATTCAACTAGTAGAATTCGAGGAACACCCAATCACACCACAGTCATATGATCATGCAACAAATATCCCACCATATTATGATCATACAATCACATAATGACCATGCAATCACACAAATATGAGATGATCATTCAATCACACAATCATCATCAAATCGCACAATAATCATACAATCATAGAATTATTACACACTTATGTCCCAATCATCTTATCATCAAATCATGCAATAGTTATATATTCCTATAATATATATAATCAAGTAATTATCACATACTCGTGTCACAATTAATTGATCACATAATAATAATCAAGTCATATCATAATCATGCTATCATATAGTAACCACATAACCCTGCGATAAGTATGCGATAATCATCTAATCATATCAAATAACATAATAATAAGCAAATGATCGTGTAATAGTACTAATAATCATTTAATCATATGATCATACAATAATCCCTTGATTACATGCCCACACAATCACACAATAGTCACTCAATGATGCAACGAGCAATCAGTCATATAATAAACATGAAATCATGCAATGATCAAGCAATCATGCAAATATAGTGGGACAAAAGGGGGAAAGAAACCCAACATTCGTCTGACCAAATTAAAACAGCGAATGTAAGAGACTCGAAGCTCACTTGACCAAACCCAGGACAGTGAGAAAGAACCAAGGAAAGAAGCTCGACTATCTGTCTAACTACATCAAAACAACATAATAGAAGAAGGAATGGATTTTATGCTCACATTAACAAAATCGAAATAATATCATAAAGAACTAAAGGAGCCACAACAATCAATCAGAACACAAGTCTGAAGGTGAGGGAAAAGATGATCAACGATCACCCGATCATCAGTTTGGTCGTGATACGAAGGGGACAAAGAGAGCACCTTCACCAGCCATAGGCCCCGAAACAGCGAAGTCCCTTCCCAGCCATAGGTCTGTCGGATAAAGCAGAAACTGAACAATCACCCGACCATAGGTCTATCGGTGAAGAGGAAAGGAAGTACCTCCGCCCGGCCATAGGCCACGAAATAGCGAAGTCCCTTCCCAGCCATATGTCTGCCGGTTGGATAAAGCAGAAGCTCAACGATCACCCGGCCATTGGTCTGTCGGTGAAGCAAAGCGGAAAGAAAGCACCCCCACTCAGCCATAGGCCTCGAAGCAATCAATATTTGTATCTCATTAGTGCGTATAATTTTTCAATTCCACACCACAATCCCTCACAAATACATTAGGTAACTTCATATAATAGAAAAACTCTAATCTTGGTTATCCATAAATAGTTGTTTGCTATAAATCCTATGCCTATCCTAATCTTAATTTTATTAATTGTTTAAAGAACCAATGTTACAAACATAGCATTGGTCCTAGAAACATTAAATACTTTATATCAGGAGATTCACCATTAATCCACCCGTGATCCAAGATCAACAAATAAATCATACTAATAATAATATTACTAATATCATCTTAAATCATACAAATCATAAGATCATTAATATTACCTTGAACGGTCATTGTTGTAGTTGACTTGCAACTCATTCAAACTGCAATCAAATTAACGAGATCATAAATCATAGATAACAATAATCAATTTAAACAAAAATAAACACTATGATAGAAGCATACTTGGAAAATTGTATGTCAAGCTGACAACAACCATCGTATATATTCCGCCCCTAGACAGATAATTATATCATACACATTTATCAATTAATATTTAAAAGAAGGCAAATAATTAAAAAAATCAAATACCTGCAAAGCAATCTTTGCTTGTAGAGCACTCTGATGTAAATGATATTGAATAAGAGCTTGAAAACCTGGACAAATTAACAAGGAGAAGTTTAGATGATTATAATTTAGGCATACTTCATTAGTATGGTTATCAATCCATTTTTAAGAAAGAGAAGAACCAACCTCGAGAGTTATTTCATAGAGATATAACAAAATGAAAAATCATTCAAAAGAGGATTCCACCAAGGAACATAGCAAAAATAGACATTTTATTAAATTGAACAATCAAGAATAAGCTATTTCACAAGCAGACAAAGTGCTCTCAGCATAATAAGCCTCATTCCTCTCTTGCTGGTTCATTCAAGTGGTATAAAATCATCTAAATACTATCATGAGATAATAATAAATGGATTAATCTATTGCCCATTAAAGCACGCTATCATGAAAATAACTTGAAATAATTATAACAGATGCAAAGTGAATATTTATTGGTTATCATTTTACCTTGTTATGGTTAACATTCACAGATCATAGTACATTAAATAAAATTTATAACTCGAGCACAGACAGCTCAGGTATAGAGTTTTATTTTTACCCGGGTTAGCCACTATTCAGCTATGAATTAATCAAATAGTCATTCAATTTTGTACAACTAAAGAATACATCTAGATTTAGAAGCAACATTGGCCATTGACAAAGATTTATTGGATATTAATATTGCCATTAAAATGTCCCCCTTGTCCTGAAGCCCTATTTATCTTCAAAAAGTCTTATTGTCTTCTTTGCTTTTTAACTTCATGTACAATGAAGTGAGAAGTTTTCCATTATAAAGCTTCTAGAAAAAAGTGAAGATGTATTCCATTCCCTCTATAATAGTTTCTCCGACATGATAAAAAAGCATTTAAAGAATGCATATACACCTACCTATAGTAAAAATCTATCACAATAGTTTCATAGAACTCTTAACATGATTTCAATAGAGGGTTTTGTTGTTGTTCCTTAAGTTGAGCCCTTAAGTTGAGCCAGCATAGACAACAAAAACATGGAGCTAAAATGTTGCTTCATCTTGTCAGGGAAGGTCCTAGAGTGTCTATGCTGGCTCTCAGCTGGCCAAGGCTTAGTTTTATTACAAAAAAATATCCCTATTTATAAATATATACAAGATATTTTAATAAGGAAACAAATAATTAGAGAATAATGCATAATTGTACTAATATAATCCTTCATATATCAGCCACCCAAATAGAGAAGGAGATCGACGTGATCCAGATGAGCCTCCCATAGATCCCCATCCTAGCCATGGGATCAAGGGCCAAGGGACGGCTAAAATTTAAAAGCGTGAATCAGGTGAGCCTCTCACAGATCCTCATGCTGGCTGTAGAATCAAGGATCAAGGGACGGTTGGAATTTTAATACTCCCTCTCAAGATGAAAAATACAAATTTATCATTTCCAGCTTGGTAATTAGCCCTAGAAAAGTAGAGTTATCAAATCCCTTGATGCATCATAGAGTACTCCATTTGGTTAAACATTTGGGAGAAATTAGCTTTAGAAATTGTGGTGGCAAAAGGTAGAAATGAAGGCTATATTAAGTAGGGCACTAATGAAGGCTACATTGGTTATAAATAAGATATAAACCACAAGGGAAGGCCGACAATGAAAGCATGACAATAGGAAAAAATCAATTTTTAGGGTTGCGACAAGCTTCAAGGATAGCAGCAAAAAAACACATCTCAAGCGGCTTAACACTATTTACCTCTCTAAAAGCTTTTGGACAAAATTTTCAAATTCCCTATAGTTTGTTTCTGTTAGACCATGTTGAACTCCATTTCAGCTAGCCTTGAACTTCATGCTTTCAGTAAGTATAACGACCTACTTTGATCAAACAAGCTATTTAAACTTTTTTTAAAATAAAAGTTGCATTCATTATATTTTCTTTCAACCATATAAAAGTGAACGACCGTCCAACCTCTCATAAGGGATGAAAAAAATTCCTGGTTGAATATTTGGGTAATTAGCCAATTTAGCTATGCCCCTACGAATATTTTAAGTATGATCAATTATTATATTTTATTTCAATCACATAAAACTGAACGACCTTTCAACTCTCATAATGGATGGCAAATCAAATTATTCTTTATTGCATTTTTGGGTAATTGGCATAATAAGCCATGCCCTAATAAATATTTTAAGAACTTCAACCCTAGAGAGAATATGATAGGAAATACTTGAGTTCACAAGCAACCCTAAGGGAATACTTGAGTTCGCAAGCAAACCTATCACTAATTGGAGAAAAAACTGTGCAGATAAAGCAAAATCTGGGTGAAATCAGCCCCAAAACGATATATTGCAATGAACGAAACAAAGCAAAACCAGCACGAAAGCAAGATATAAGTGATCCTTAATTCGAGAGGAGGATCGTCTCTCCCAGATCTCTAGACAAGAGAGTCTAGAGCCCAAACGCCAAGAAATCCTAATTCTCAATAAATCAAAACATAATCCTCCCCTAATTCCCTCATGCCTTTTAATACAAGATATTTCCTAATTTAATTTCCCTCCCAAACCCTAGCCGCCCACTCTATTTGAAAAATTCACTCAAATTACACAATGGGGCCCGCCCCATTAGTTGGACCAGGAAGAGGAGGCGGAGTTCCGCCTCCGCCTCCTATATACCTGTGGCACCTTTTAAGCTGGCTGGGGCTAGACCGATTCACTATGAACCGGTCTAACAATACCGCCCTCCCAAAGAATAACCTTGTCCTCAAGGTGAAAATCAGAAAACTGGTGTTTCGCTCTCTCGTAGGTAGGGGTGTCAATATTGGACTCGACCAAAAACATTTCGGGTTTGGGTTGACCCAAACCCGAAGCGGGTCGGGTTCGAGTTCGGAAAATCGACCTGTTTCCAAAAATGGGTCGAGTTGACCCGAACCCAAATAGTGTCGGGTCAGTTCCGGGTTCGACCTGAACCCAACCCGTGACCCGAAATTGACACCCCTACTCGTAGGGTTCCCACGTAGCCTCATAGTCAGGGAGGTTCTTCCACTTGATCAACACTTCATTATTCCCATCTTCTTTCTGGTGAACCCCCGGCAACTCCAGGGGTTCCAGAAGAACTTCTAAATCTTCCGTAAGTATCGCTGGTAACTCGAGCTTGGTTGTATAGTCTCCAATGGCCTTTCTCAATTGTGATACATGAAAAATCGGGTGTATAGTCGCCGTTGATGGTAGTTTTAGCCAATATGCAACTACTCTGATCTTCTCTAGCACTTCATAAGGCCCAAAGTACCTTGAAGCAAGCTTTTCATTCCTCATGTTGGCGACTGTCTTCTGTCTATACGGTCAGAAATTCGAGAACGCCCTCTCCCCCACTTCAAACTGGATGTCCCTCCTATGCTCATCCGCTTGTTTCTTCATAATTTGTTGAGCCCTTAGCAGATGTCTCTTCAACTCTTCTAACACTCTATCCCTCTCTTCCTAGTACTCCTAAACTGAGTAAACTAGGGTACTGCTACTCCCAAAGTGTACCAAGTGGGGGGGACCACTTTCATACAACACCTTGAATGGAGTCATCTGAGAAGCAGAGTGAAAAGAGGTGTTTTTTTTAGAGAGGTGTTGTACCAGTATTCGGCCCATGATAACCACTTAGTCCAAAGCTTGGGTTTCTCCGATACGAAACATCTCAGGTAAGTCTCCAAGCTCCTGTTCACTACTTCCGTTTAGCCATCCGTCTGTGGGTGGTAAGCTGTACTCCTCTTCAGAATTGTCCCTTGCAACCTGAACAACCCTCTCCAAAAATGCCTGAGGAATACCTTGTCTCTATTTGATACGATCGCCTCGAGTATTCCATGTAATCTAACCACCACCTTGATGAAGGCTGAAGCCACTGTCACTGATGTGTAGGGATGTTGGAGGGGAATGAAGTGTGCATACTTGCTCAACCTGTCCACCACCACCAAGATCACTGTGAACTCTTCTGAACAGGGCAACCCATCTATAAAGTCCATGGAGATCTCCTCCTGCACTCTTCCCAGTAGAGCTAACAGCTGTAGTAATCATTCTTGTGACATAGCCATGTACTTATTCCTTTGGCAGATCTCATACCTGGCTACCATCTCCTCTACAACTTTACGCATCCCTTTCTAGTACAGTTCCACAGCTAGCCTCCCGTATGATTTTTGTACTCCTAAATAGTCCCCCACAACGCTTCCATGAAACTCCTGGAGTAAGTTTGGGATGTGGATCGAGGTCCGGGGCATCACAAATATCCCCTGATATAGTAGTTTATCTTCCTCTAATGAGTACCCTGGGTGACTACCCTCTTCTCTTAGTAAATCCAACCTGATCTTTTTCAATCCTTCCTCTAGCACTTTCCTCTCTGATGGCCTCCCAGTCAAGCATCAGAGGAACAGATAGTGCCACCGCCTGCAGCTCCATCATACATCTGGTCAAGACATCTGCCGCCTTGTTCTCCACTGCTGGCCTATACTGAATCTCAAAGTCATACCCGAGTAACTTGGACAACCACCTTTGATGCTCCTCTATCACCATTCGTTGTTTTAGTAGATATTTCAAGCTTCGCTGATATGTCCTGACAATGAAATGTCTCCCAAGTAGGTAAGGTTGGCACTTTTGAATGGCCAAAATGATGGCCATTAATTCCCTCTCATAGACTAACTTCAGCCTGGCCCAAGCATTCAAAACCTGGCTGAAATAGGCAATGGGTCTACAATTCTGCATAAGCACTGCACCAAACCCGTATCCCGACACATCCATCTCCACAATGAAGGTTTGAGTGAAATCTAGCAAGGCTAGGACCGATATTGTAGTCATCACCTTCTTCAGGCTCTAAAATGCTGTTGTGGCCGCCTCCCCCATAAGAACTCGTCCTTCTTCAACTGCTCAGTGAGTGGCCATGCAATAATGTTGTATCCCTTCACGAACCTTCGGTAGTAACCTATCAGTCCTAAAAATTCACTCAACTCCTTCAGATTTTTTGGCACTGACCACCTTAGCATTGCCTCAATTTTGGACTGATATGCTGCCACCCCCTCTTTTGACACGACATGGCCCAAGTACTCAACACTGAC